GTGTCGGAGCTCTCAACTTCAAGAGTGATCGTCTTGCCGGTTAAGGTCTTCACGAAAATCTGCATTCCTCCCCTGAGACGGAGCACAAGGTGGAGGGTAGACTCTTTCTGAATGTTATAGTCAGCCAAGGTGCGGCCATCCTCAAGCTGTTTCCCAGCAAAAATCAACCTCTGCTGGTCCGGAGGGATTCCTTCCTTATCCTGGATCTTGGCCTTGACGTTGTCAATGGTATCAGAACTTTCGACCTCAAGTGTAATTGTCTTGCCTGTAAGGGTCTTAACAAAAATCTGCATCTGCGTAAAGTAATGCCACAAATATCCAACATCAATATCTTAAATGAAACTCCAATAAAAGATCCACCCTCCCACATGCAGATGTAGAAAAAGAAACCGCTGCATGTTGAGAATGATCCGAGTCATAAAAAAAGCATGCCTAAACCCATACATCAAGGGTTTGAGTGAAGATTTTGGGTTATAATTAATACTTGAGAGGTTTGTATAAAAATCCCAATGAAGTATGTTAGATCACCACAAAACACCACAGATATAGAAGGTTAAAAAATAGAAAACCAGCCATAAACAGAGAGTAATTCATTTTAAGTTTCGTTCCGGAAGCATTCACAAAAATATTACTTTCTTCGGGAATCTATTAGGAGAGTAAGCCGTCATTGATTTATATAAAAAAACAAAACAAAACAAAACAGAATACAGTGAAAAACGGCAGAAGGAATTTGGATGTCCATCAGATTTCCTGGATCGAAAAGGAAAACAAGACGATAAATGTAAAAATATCGTAGATCTGGACCAGATGTTTGATCTTCGTAGATCAATCAGACGAGAAATAGCAATAAACAAGTTTACAGCCTTGCAGAAAAAAACAATTTAAATCTTAAACTAGAGTTCTAATCACAAGTAATTGAATGCAAATCAATATAACTCATTCAAAACCTACCTGCTTATGCAAATCAAACAGAACAGAAGGAGATAAGGAAGAATTTCAGAGCTCATGCGAATATCAAAACTTAAAAATAAGACCATCCAGATTAAAAAATAATGATAATCAAAATGAAAATTCTTAGCAGCATACCGTAAAACTAAATAGAACACGGGAAAGAAAAAAATAAAGAGATAAAAAAATACCTTGAAAAGAAAAGAGAACTTTGCGAGCGATAATAGAAGAGACTAGATTGCTTGAACTTGGCGGAGGAGGGTGAGGGGAGAGCGGTATTTATAGAATGGATGGCCTGCCCTCAGCACCCAACGTGATAAGCGGAGTACGAGCCACGTAAATAAAACCAATACAAATCTGACACGTACCCATTGTTAAGCTTTTCTTTGCCGTGAGGTAACGTAAGCGATGAGTTTCGGGTTTAATTTCCGTTAGTTGACGCCGTCAAGTCACAGCGGCGCTGTTAAGATATTTTATGTAATTAATTTGAGCGTTTCCTTATTCATTTATGCTGTCATTGTTTTTTTCATTTTTTTTATAAAAATTATACAACGAGTACACTGATAATCGTGCATCAATTATTGCGGCATCATTTT